TTTAACCCAACCCTCTTGCCTATCTATGAAAGAGCAAAAAGTATTCAACAAATTGTTGACCGCATTCATAAACGCCATCACTGAACTGTAACCCTACAGGACCAAAGCAGCACAGTAGGTAAACAATATTTTCCACGGGATTTATCACTTTATAGGTTTCCAACTTTGAGAACCTTCCTGCACACCACCTACTGGTCTGACTCCCCTGGGAACACTGGCAAGGAGGGAGTATGCTGGAGGGAGCCCAGGAGGTGGGTGCAGCAGTGAAAAGAAGTCACTGTGAGACAGAAATAGCTGGCTCACTGCTTTCAAAGCCTCCTTTTAGTCTAAACTGAGACCAGAGCTTTAGGTCCCAGAAAGGAGAGAAGCCGGGGAGAGGAGAAACTTCCATGTCAGAAGCTTGGGCCAATGCATATATGATTTGTTGGTTGGTAGGGCACACAGATCTTAAGCACCCCTAGCACATTCCTAGCTCAAGATTAGCTATATAATTTGTGAAGCTTAGAGTAAAATAAAAATGTGGGATCCTTGTTAAAAAATGGTTATTTCAAGAAAGCAATTACAAAGCATTAAATCAAGCACAGGATGCCTCTGACCTGGGCACTGTGTGAATACTGAAGTCACACAGACCCTGGAGACTGGCCAGTTACTTCCCACTTGCTGTTGTCTGCCTAGAACCCATCCCAGAGATCTCTGCCTGCTGGCTCCCACAGTTCCTTCCATGAAATATGACCTTCCCAAAAGTCCTTCACAGGTAAGTACTACTTAAAATTACAGCCCTCCTCCAACGCAAGCATGTAGCTTTCTCTCCAGAATATTTAGTAACTCACAATTATTTGTTCATCCACCTCCATCTTCTCCAGAATGTAAAAAGACACAGCTCATTCACTGCGATACCTCAGTGCTCAGAACAGTGCTTGATTCCAAGAAGCTGCTTAATGCATATTTGCGGAATGAATGAATGAAGCCCAAACTGCTTCAAGCGGCAGAATCGTTCAAGAGATGACCAAAGTTGTTCTGGTATACTCAGGGACCTTTTAAAAATGTGCACAAGGAGAGACATGCAAACTCATGATAGGAGAAAATGAATGGCACTGATAGTAACAACTCTTTAGTTGAGGAGAAAGGTGGAGCAAATGAACTTTGGGCTGCAGGCAACATAGGAGACAGAATTTAAGTTAAGTCCTAAAGGCAGGCAATGGACGTCAAAGAGGAAGGAAAGTCACTCAGCTAAGCCAAACCAAGAGTTCACATTTGATTTAATTTGCTTTAGTTCATAGTAGCAGTCTCCTAGCTTCTTCTAACTTAAAAATAGAAGAGTTATATCATCAAATTGATCTTGCTTACAACACAGACAAGCTATGACAAATATTATACAGTGAAAAATAAGTTTGGGCCAGCAGTATTAAAACTTTTATGAGGCCTGAAAATCCAACTCTTAAAGAATGCTTTCAATGTTCAGAGGTCCTAACACCACAGAGCCTCTCTCTATGGTGGCCTCTGGAAGCAGCCATTCTGCCCATTTCAATTAACAAATGTGCCATAGATGAGGCTCCTGCCCTCCAGGGATTCCCAATGCAAGTGGGAGTTGAGGGGGTCTTCAGTGAGTAGTCTCAGCAAAGAGGAAGTGAAAGTGTATAATGAAGTCTTCTGCGACACTAATGATAAGAGCAGCTTACACTTATTGGCTGCTTATTGAACATGAGCTTTGGTGCTAGGAATATGCCATGCTTTTTGTCAATGCTTCTTTCCAAAGATACTAGTATCGCCCACATTTGACAAGTTAAAGCAGCATAAGTAATTTGCACAGGCTCAAACAGCTTAACAGGAACAGAGTCTCTCTTTGAACTGGGGTCTGCCTGGCTCAAGAGTGAGACTCATAAACCAGGGCTAACCTGCACCCACTACTGCTACTCACGTGGTTAAAAGCAGCAAGGCTACAGACTTCTGAGGCCAGGAACTACATCCACTCTGTTTACAACTGGTTCCCCATCTACTAGCTGATCAATAAATATATGTTGGATTAGAAAACATACATTCCCATAGTGCTGTTGCAAACACTAACCCAGCTAAAGTTGACATCTTTTTCTGTTGTTTCCTATCCAACATCCATTCCGTTTTCTTTTCTGAAACCATCCTCCCATTCTTGGTCATGTTGATTTAGTTGGGGCAGACCCCACCTTTATCTTCAGAAGAGGACAGCAGATAAAGAGTCTGGTAAATTCGAATTAGTGTTTGGCAAAATGATGGATACATGATTTAGTCTGGATCAATGGGAGCTAGGTTCATGATTTTTGCTGCACAAAACAGACACCCTCTTTTCTCTGGATTGCTAAATTGCTACAATATAAACTGAAGCTACTGGTAAGCATTTTACCCCAAAAAGGAGAGCACCTGCTTGTAAATAAGCCAAGGAGAGCAGAACCAAAGACAAAGAGACTTCCAGTTATTCACCCAGAACAAGCACTACCACCTGGAATCTTCAGTTCCATGAAGCTGGAAATCCAGCTTGAGTTGGGTTGCAATAGCTTGCAATCCACAGCGCAGATCTATCACCTAAGAAAAATGGGTCCAAGCAACTGGATTTCACAACCACTACAGTGAAGAAAGCAGCATATATGCAACTATACTCAGGTGGCCCCACGACACTGAGAACCTTGAGCTTATGAAAAGAAGAAAACGGCAGACAAAAGAGTCTACTGCTTCTGAAATTGTCAAGAGGTGTATCATCTCTTTAATGAATTCAATGCCATGTAAAGAAGAATCTAGGTGTTCAAAATTCACCTAAAAACAGACGACTTCTAAGTATTATTATTAAAAGTGTCACTGAGGAGGCTCAAGCAATCAAGTCTTCCTTTAGCTGTGTGCTGTCCATAAAGGTCCAATGTGTCCCAACACGGAGGCAGTGCTGGACACCCACCTGTCCAAAGGCAACCAATCCTGACCACTGATTTCCTAGCTATCCTCACTCTGGCAATGATGTTGAAGACTGAAGTGAAAGTCTCAGCAAAATTACAGTTCAAATGCACTAATATAAGAGTGTGTGCCACAGTGAGTGCATGCCACAGTGAGTGCGTGCCACAGATGAGGGAAAAAAAGACTATATTAGGAAGTGCTTCCAGATTTTCCATTTCCCTTTCACAGCTGAATAAGCCTTTCAGTTTCTGGGGCATCCTAAATGGAACTAAATCTTCCTTTTTAAGAGTCACCTATGATTGGACAAAGGATCTTAGGAAGATATAAGACAACACTCACAAACTAATGACCCAAGGAAGATCCAGCCGACAGATGGGTTTTATTTAGCCTGTAATATCAGAAATTAAAATATTGTTAGTCTTTTTCTGTTACCAACAACTGAAAATGGGGAGTTGTGATAGGTTGTTGTCTTCATGGCCCCTAATTCATCTCTATCTTTAGGCACACAGACTCTGGCCATGGCCAAATGAAACGCTGTGGACAATATGACAAAAACACACGTGGCCTAGGCAGAGATTTCAAAAGCACAAAGCACTGGTGCTTGCCCTCATGGTCCTCTTATAACTTGGAGAAGGCCCGCCCAGGCCTAACCTGCTGGATGCTGAGACATACATACAATACACATCTCATACACACCCAACAACTAGCCACCACCCAGAAGTACTGCTGCCTGGACAGCATCTACCTTTCACATGTGAGCGAGACCACCATGTCCAGCCCAAACTGCCACCTGCAAAATGGTGAGCTAAATAAATGGTAGATGTCAAGGTTTGGATTTAAAAAAAAAAAATCAGCAAAAATTGAGGCCAAGTAAAACAAGCATTTCCTATTTAAAAAAAAATCTAGAGATTCTGCTCCACTGTGAGCACATTTCTATCCAGCAACAAGCAGCTGGCATGACCATGGCAGACATGTGTATCAGCCCAGCCATGGCACGGTGTTTCCCAATTTGTCACTATCAACTCAACCATGCTGGGGTCAAGTTCAATTGCTCTATGTCACCTGAGTTGGGTGTGTATTTATGACAAAGAAGAAAGTGAAAAAATAGAGTATCCAACACATACTGTTACTATTGAAAGTAGGAAAATAAAAAAAAAGCAGTACAGCCACTTTGGAAAACTGTCAGTATCTATGAAAGGGGGGCTACACACACCTTGTGACCCATCAACTCCACACCTAGACAAATACCCAAGAAAAATCTACAAACGTGCTCCAAGATTTCCACAGCAGCGCTACTCTTGAGAGTCCCAAAATGGCTATGAATAAACTGGTTATCAAAAACACTACACCAAAAGAATGAATACATAAAATAGGATACATTCACAGGGGTATCATGCAATACACAAGAATCCAGACACAAGACTACATGTTCTAAGGTTCTACCCCTATAGCTCAAAAAGGGACAAAAAGAAGGCAGGAGAAGCCTAGTGGCTACCTCTGCATGGAAGAGGACACATGGGGTCTGACAAAATAATGCTACTCTAATCTGGGTGCTATATATACAGCTCTGGAAAGTTCACCAGGCTGCATAAAAGTGAGAAACAAGACCAAATGGAGGACTGTGTGTTTCCAAAAGAATAGGTATTTTCCTTAGAGATAGCATGGAGATAATTCTACAGTCATGTAGAATACTTATGTGTCAAAAAGAATGGTAATCATATGAAACAAATCATTAAAAAAGTATGGCTGGGCCCTCCCTGGTGGCGCAGTGGGTTAAAGCACTGCACTAAGAAGCTAAAGCCACTTCCTCATGAGTTCGATTCCCACCTGCCCCGGAGGGTGACCACATGGTGTGGCAGACCTCTCCTGACCTGCCCGTTGCTCCCCTCAGCAGTGTACTTCGTCGATCTGCCTCTGCTCCCCACTCTGTCTCTGGTGAAGCCTCTCGCTGCCCCTGAGCCTCTGGCCTGTACCCCAGTTCTGTAAACACAAATAAATAAATCTTTAAAAAAAAAAAAAAAAGTATGGCTAGAGTTTGGCAATGATACCTAACGCCTGATAAACATGGCGAAGGGGCTGCTTACCTGCCAGACCTCTGCGGCTTTGAGGCTTACACCCACTGACGTGGGGACCCACGCCTTTTCTACAAAGGTTACCAGTGGTCTTCAAACTGAAGATTCTGGGTGAAAATATTGGCCCCTAAAGATGATTATCACTTTCCTAATGTTCATGTGCCAAATGAGGCTAACGGCGGCTTCTGGCAAGAGCTGGGACAACTGAAGGTAATGGCTGTAAACCCTGAGACACTACCAAAGAGAGAGAAAGCAAGTACACCATGAATTATTACTTCATTTATAGCAGTGTTAAGTATTTAAAAAAACCTAGTAGTATCTAATCTGATTCTTAGGTACCACCTGGGCTGTTTCTTCCAACTACATATGAAATTTAAGATTATGACGTGAGTTTTGGATCCTCCAGTAAGCTGGTTCCCCCTCCCCCATTTTTTGAATACTCTACTTAGGGGTCCCCTATTTTTGCTACCAATGCCTATCCCTCATGAGTGTTAGGGCCAGAGAACCTTGAGAATTAGGACTTCAAACCAAGAAAGTTGGACAGCAGAGAACTTGACTGCCCCAACATTTAGAGTTTTGGGTCCATCCTCTAAGGAGGGACTCTAAGGGCTAACCCTAAAAAGGGCCCAAAATTCATATTTTAATAAAGCCTGAGGTTACTCTCATGCCAAGTGATGTCTGGGAAACTCCTACCTGGTAAAATTTAGACCCCAACAGAGCAGAAGTTCCCTCAGAACTTATCAAATGATCCTTCCTCGGGAAATAATGAAACTCTGAATTCCATTTATAATAGAACATTAGGGATTGTTAAAAACTCTAAAGACACATTTGTGGGATTTCAGTTGAGACCTCAAATGTGTCTTTGTCCTCATAATCCACTTTGATTCCCTCTCCACCTAAAGTGAGTTGGGCTTCCCTGAGCTACAAACCTACTTCAATGGAATAACTTCCTCAGAGTTCTGAACTAGCCTGAGCAACTTAACAGCTACTAACCTACCTTCCCAAGGCAAAAGGTGTTTTAATCTTTACATATCTGTAAAACTTCTGTGATGACCCACTTTTTACAGAAGTAGGCATGATGTCAGGCTAAATTTTCATCTATATAAGAACTGTTATTAAATGAGACTGTTTCAGACACACATATACCAAGTAAAAAGCTACATATCTATCCTTAGAAATAAAGCAGGGCACAGAATCAGACACTCAGCGAAGACTCAAACAGCTGTTACAGTTGATACAACTATATAATGTTTCTCAAAACAACTTGCCAATTACAAAATTACTCCCAAATGGAAAGTGGTAGAAGTCTCCTTTTGAGGCTAAGTTAAATTTAACTATTGAAACCTTTTGTCTCCACTTAGCATAAATGTGTTTCAGGTGATCTTGATAATGAAGGGTTTTTGAGGAGGGTCTCCGTGGTCCTCTAAATTCTGGAAGGAACTCAGGCCCCACATTAATGAGAACTGTCATACTAATCAAAGTAGCCAAAGGACTTGTCCTCTTTCTTAATGTTTTAAAATAAGGCATGCACAGGACATAAAAACTGTATAGTATATTGGCCCTCCCTGGTGGCGCAGCGGATTAAAGCGCAGCACTGAGAAGCTAAAGCCGCTTCTGCATGAGTTCGATTCCCACCTGCCCCGGAGGTTACCACATGGCGCGTCAGACCTCTCCTGACCCGCCCACTGCTCCCCTCAGCAGAGTACTTCGTTGATCTGTCTGTTCTGCTCCCCACTCTGTCTCTGGTGAAGTCTCTCGCCGCCCCTGAGCCTCTGGCCTGTACCCCAGTTCTGTGTGCACAAGTAATTAATAAATCTAAAACAAAACAAAACTGTATAGTATAAACAGTATGTGCAGGTAAGGTATTGTAAAAAACTCCTTCCTAACCACATCCTCCTCCTGGTCCTCCTCTCCAAAGGCAACCCTTTCTTGTTCAAAGTTTAGGAATCCTTTCGAACTGGATTTCAATCGACAATAAGTTGTCAATTTGTTAACAATTTGGGTCAGATCATTTTTTGTGGGTGCTGTCCTGTGCGTTGTAGCATGTTCATGAGCATCCCCGGCCACTATCAGCTAAGTGATAACAGCATCTTCCCTTGAGTGGGGCCATCCAAATGTCTGCAACCACTGCCAAACTTAGAGGGGTTCAAGGGGAGTAGCCCTGGTTAGGGACCTCTGCTTCCAGAGAGCGTCCATGCAAGCAGAAACGTAGATGTGTGGAGCGCTATGCCCTTTCCTTCAAATACTGGCAGCAGATCGTTATGGGGGGGGG